ACTTTAATAAAAACAAACCAAATTAAAGAAAACAAACAAACAAAAACCATAATATATTTTGAAAATAACAAATCAAAGGAGAACCAAATCAAACTAAATCGAAGTATTGTATAACTAGCTTTCAAGCCCGTGCGATGCACGGGCAGTATGTAATTTAGCTAATTTGAAATTTAATTTCTATCGGATCACATATGTGATTTAAAAGAAAAATAAACTTAGTCTAATATAGAGTTTGTTTGATAATACTAAAATAAATAGAATTAACTTATTTTGCTGAAATTGATTGAATTCTGGTTAAATAGGTGGAATCTCCTGAATCATGAAAAATAATTGTAAAATATATTCCATTTGTGAAACAAAGAAAAAATTATATGAAAAAAAAGTTAAATTGGTCTTCTACATAAGCATCTCAAATAAATATAATTGTTATGAACTCATATTAATTTTTTTATATTTCTTAATTGTTAGATCTTACAGTTTACTCAGTAATAAGAACGTTTTTAATTGAATTAAAATTTCGGGTTTGATTTGGTATGAATTAATATGGTCTATTAGATGTCTGTTTTTTATGTGACTTATTGTTATAATTATTAAAGTTTGATCTGACCTGATTTAATCTGGAACTGAAATCAATCCAATTAAAAACATTCTATTAAAATAAAAGTAGGAATTTGTAAACATATAAAGATTTTCTAATTTGGATTAGGAATCTATTTCAAAAGTGAATGCATATTTAAATTTTAGGTGTAAACTAAAGAAACAACCAAAAATATTTACTTATTTAGCTAGGCTAAATGTATTTACTTGGGAAAATATATATACTTTATGTTGGTTATAATTTTTAATTTCATTTTTAAATATTTACTTATTTGAAGGTTACTACTTTATTAATAGGTGCCAAATTAATAAGTAAACTAATTTGCATATTTGTTTCTATTTAATTCCGTTTAGTAAACTTATGAAAATTAGTTTCCATATCAATAAACGTTATTAGAATTTCACTTTGATAACCAAAAATTATTTTACTTATTTGAAGCTTACCAAATTAATTAAGGTGGATTTTTAAGGATTTTTGTTTCCATATCAATATGCAATCAAAAATAGAATCTAATAAAAAAAAAGGTATAAAAATAACTAAATAATTGTTATATATAATGACATGGCAGGATTATGTGGCGCTTTGTATGCTCTTAAAAAGTTCCTCTTTTATATACATATATTGATATTTATTTTTACTTGATAATTTTCAAACCGAACCGATGACTGATAAAAATCGAATCAAAACCTACATGTCTACCCCTAGTTAATTAGTTGTATCATAATGCATCAATTAATATGTTTTTTAATGTTTGTATATGAACTTCAGCCCTTAATGAAATTCAACAATTAGCCTACATAAATTGAGACATGAAACAAGAAACCACTCTTCAAATTTTCAAAAGGTTTAGCAAGAGGTCGAAGCATGTGGGGTAATTAAGCTTACAAAGATTTACTGATTAAAAGAGTTTTGGGGATACAGCTGTTCTTTTGGCACGTTTATTTTGTTTATTTAATTCCTTTATTTTTTCCCTTTTTATACAAGGTTGTTTAAGGATGTTCAATTAAGCTTAATAATATCTATTAATGTGCATCCACATGTCTTTCTGTTGATCAACTTTCTTATTTTAAGGTTTCAGTCATTAATATACTCACATGTTAGCAGAGAATATATTTACCAATATAATAAAAATATATAAGGATTCTATAAGTGTTTGAAATTTAACGTTCTTCTCTTAACACATCTTCTATTTTAATTTTCTCATTGATCCACTCCTCCATGAGAATAATACTAGATTAGAAAATAAAATATTTATGATTGTTAAATATTCGATCATTTTCTTCAGAATATAAGTTAGTGGAAATTTAATATATGACTCAAGTGACTGAAATGCAATTTAAACTAGTTTTATGAAATCGTTGATGTACTTAATTCTCATTTTTCATTCTTTCATATGAACTTTGATTGTGTATTATACTTCTCTTTTAAGTGTAAGAAATGTCACATCAATGTGTTATATACTCCCTCCGTCCCATTTATATTGTCCCGGAAGAGAGTGACACGGTTATTAAGAAAAGTGGGTTTGTGTGGTTGATATTAATTGATAAAGTAAGAATAAAGTAAGAATGATTTAAAACCACACAAACTTTGCCAAATATGGTATGAGACAATATAAGTGGGACTTCCCGAAAAGGTAAAACGGGACAAAATAAATGGGACGGAGGGAGTATCAATCATTCTGAAGAAGTGAAATTAAACCGATTGTCTCAATTAATCACCTTGTAGTGAGATTAGAGGAGAAGGTTTATAGAGAGTTCACAACAAATAGATGGAGATTTCCGGCTACAGAACAGGGCACTCGTACGGAACAAGTAATGTGATCACTTTTTTATTTTTTCCAATTGAAAACGTATCATATCAACTTACTTTCGTCCCATAAAATACTTCCCCGTTTGACTTGGTCGAAGTTTAAAAAATTGGAAGTAAAGTGAAAATGTATGATTGAGGTTGAATAAGAAAAAGGTAAGTGAATGTTAGTTATACAAAACTTTCCAAAAAAAGGGAAATAGAAAGAATTTTTTTGAGGCGTCCAAAAAAAGTCAATGTGTCGCTCCATATTAATTTCTCTCAAGATTGATTACAAAATCAGATTATTGTATTTGCTTCACTTGTAAATATTGTGTTATACAAGACTTTTGAAAAATGATGATTGGTGCATGTGATCAATTTCGAAGGCAGTGCTTATACTGCATGTACCAAGCTGAGTATCATGTTGTTGTACTTCAGAAGGTTCATGTGATACCTTCTCAATCTCTCAATTACTTCTGAAAACTAGTGCAAATGTGCAATAATGGGGAAATTGCGGTTTCAATCTCTCAATTACTTCCCACATTAAAATGTGGCCATGGCGTTTTCAATTTTATAAATGTCACATCTCCATATGTATGATTTTTGATAAATTTGATCATGGTTGTTAAAATTGAACTAACACCGTTAAATTTTGTAACTTTGACTCTGTACGGTTGCAACTTCAGACACTTTTAAGGAATGTACTCTTGAAAATCCTTTGCATTGATATTTTATCTCTAAAGTTAGGCCACACATAGAAAATGTTGTGGAAAAATATAATATTAGTGTCATTAAATGCCTGACACATAAAAATGTTTATAGTACGGTCAAAGATGTTTATCATTTAAAAAAATATCGGACAATTTTTTAAGTAAAGTTAGCTCATACACATAAAATATTGGTCAAAAAAAATTAAATTTTACACACAATAAACGTCAGACAAAGACAAAAAAGTTTTGAAACAACTTAAAAATTGTATACTTTTTGTACACATTTTCAAAATCTTTTAAATGACATTTAATTTTATAAACAATAAATGTCTATCACAAAAAAAAAATTGACATGGCAAAAAATTGTATTATACCTTTCCATAATGTAAGATAAATGTGGGTTTGATCTGGACGATTGGATTTTAAGAATATAGGTTGTTTAAGAATCCTAATTTAACCTCAAAAAAGTAAGAAAAAGGAATATAAGCCCACAAAATTAAAAGATAAAATGATGGATAAAGTGATAAAGTCAGAAACATTGTTTGCCCACAACCGGCCCAACCAAAAAGAAAAAAGAATATAAGTCCACAAAAATTAAAGGGTAAAAAGTCAAGTCCAGAAACATTTTTTTGTTTCTATCGGATATTTATTATTTATAAAATTAGATTTGTTGACCAACATTTATTGTTCCTGACCTAAGTTATAGAAAAAAAATTGTCAGTGGGAATGAATGACGATTCGCTAACAAGCCCAGCCACTTTTAAATAGGCTAATAGTCCTAAGTAGGACAAAAGTAATCTTAAATGCAAAAAAATGACTATAACCGTTTTATTCTACCCTTATTGTAACTTCGAGTAAAAGGGCCAATTCGGTACTCGAAGTTGCATAAAAAGGGTCAAATAAGTCCTTACCGTCCAGCCATCATCATTTGGGACGGTTCCCGGTGGAATTTTTTAATGAATTTTTTTGAGCATCTTATTCATTAAGTCTATTTTACTCATACCGATTTTCAGCTAAAACTTCAATCGGGAAGGCACAGTTATCTTCAAGAATTCATTTGAATGCCTTCCCGATTGAAGTTTTATCTAAAATTTGGTATGAGTAAATTGGACTTAATGAATAAGATGCTCAAAACAATTCGTCAAAAAAATCCATGAGGAACCCCCCCAAATGACGACGGTCAGACATAGCCTCCTATATAAGCTAAATACTTTTCCCTCTGTGGGTAGGACAATAATGACTGGATGTGAAAGACATTTATTGCTAAAAAAGAATTCTTCTAACTAAGTCTATCAATTCAAATCAAAAGAAAAACCTCTCTTTTCGGGTTCATTAATAAAATAAAAGTAAATTATTTCAACTTAATATTCTTTGGATGAGGGAGAAAGTATCTATATAGATCTAAATAGATATATGGTATCCTCGATTCAGTTAGATACAAATTAAAATAAGGTATATTTCCATTCATTGCTTTTCATCTAACCTGGTACCATCTACCCTGCTAGAGGGTAGATAGTACTACTATCAATTAAATTTCCACCAATTAAATTTCAATGGTAAATACATATGGATCCTTTAGCTCGACGCCAGTATAGTATTGGGAAAAAGTTTAAGACCTCTGATTCTTTTTACTTTTTTATTTTTAAATAGAAAGATAAAGTCGTCTTATTCAAAATCCCACTTCAACATTAGATACGCTCTTCTTATATAGAGAACTTGAGAGAAACGCGCTTTCACATCTGAAATGGCAGAGATGTTCCTTTTTTGCGGAGGTGGCGGGGTGGGCCTGTAGCTCAGAGGATTAGAGCACGTGGCTACGAACCGCGGGGTCGTGGGTTCGAATCCCTCCTTGCCCACAACTGTCCCAAAAGCTAAATACTTTTCCCTCTGTGGGTAGGACAATAATGACTGGATGTGAAAGACATTTATTGCTAAAAAAGAATTCTTCTAACTAAGTCTATCAATTCAAATCAAAAGAAAAACCTCTCTTTTCGGGTTCATTAATAAAATAAAAGTGAATTGTTTCAACTTAATATTCTTTGGATGAGGGAGAAAGTATCTATATAGATCTAAATAGATATATGGTATCCTCGATTCAGTTAGATACAAATTAAAATAAGGTATATTTCCATTCATTGCTTTTCATCTAACCTGGTACCATCTACCCTGCTAGAGGGTAGATAGTACTACTATCAATTAAATTTCCACCAATTAAATTTCAATGGTAAATACATATGGATCCTTTAGCTCGACGCCAGTATAGTATTGGGAAAAAGTTTAAGACCTCTGATTCTTTTTACTTTTTTATTTTTAAATAGAAAGATAAAGTCGTCTTATTCAAAATCCCACTTCAACATTAGATACGCTCTTCTTATATAGAGAACTTGAGAGAAACACGCTTTCACATCTGAAATGGCAGAGATGTTCCTTTTTTGCGGAGGTGGCGGGGTGGGCCTGTAGCTCAGAGGATTAGAGCACGTGGCTACGAACCGCGGGGTCGTGGGTTCCGTGCAGCTGGGGTCTACAAAGGCCGGGTTCCGTGCATGGGGGCCGAGGGGCAACGGATTTTGTACGACCGCAGCGGCGCTTCATCTTCTCGATCAAGGCGCGGAGAGGATCCACGTATCGCTCAATTGCAGCGGGAGTTGGAGGAGCAACGCAAAAAGGACGAAGAAACAAGAGCCCGGATGGAAGCGATGGAACGGATCCTCAGCGCCGGAATTCGGAATCAGCCTCAGCCTCAGCCGTATATACTGCACCCCGAGCAGACTCCTCAACTTCCGCAGATGGGCGGTTATTTCCGTTCCAACTCTGCTTCCGGGTTGCCTTCATATGGTTCTTTTCAGGATATCAATTTTCATAACCTGTTTCAAACATCTGGAGGCAGCCAAGCAGGAGGCAGTCGCGGAGGTGGCAGTCGCGGAGGGGGCAGTCGTGGTGGCAACCGAGAAGGCCAAGGTGGAAGCAACCGAGAAGATGGGACCGAAGAAGATTATCTATATGATGATTCTAGATATTATCATAATGGTAGTCGGGGGAGCTTGTAAACGATATACATTTTTAATTGAACATTGTTTATTTACTATATTTGTATTATGTTTATTATTACTTTTATTTCAGTCTGTTTATGGATGAAATGTGTGTTCTAATTGTCTGTTTATTACTGTTATTCTACAATGATTTTTTAAAAATAAACTTTTCTAAAGAAAATTTGAAAAATAAATTTAATTTTTTTTAAAACAAAAAAGTTTTTTTTTGAAAATAAAAAAATTTAGTCACGGATCTAAGCCGTGACTAAATTCTAGACCGGTTTTTTTAAAATTATTTTAAAATTTTAAAAATGTTTTTTTTAAAAAAAAATAGTCACGGATCTCGTCCGTGACTAAATTTAAAATTTTGAAAATTTGAAATTTGAAATTTAAATGTAAACTGGCGGTCACATTTGAAATTTGAAAAAGTAGTCACGGATTGGTCCGTGACTAAATGTAGTCACGGATTGGTCCGTGACTAAATGTAGTCACGGATAGAGGCCGTGACTAAGTCGCCGGTGTGGTTATTCCGGTCACAAATTAGTCACGGATAGGGTCCGTGACTAATCCGTGACTACTCTTAGTCACGGAAAAACGGTTGTGACTAGATTTAGTCACGCCCAAACAGTCACGGATTTAGTCACGGACTTTTTCCGTGACTAGCAGAGTTAGTCACGGATTTTTTATACTAGGGTCTGTGACTAAATCCGTGACTAACTCCGTGTTTTTTTGTAGTGGGTAAGGGGTCGATGTAGGCAGTCTTACTCCTATACTAAAGCACATAAACTGTTTTCAAATGATCCATGGTAAAATTTACGTCGAAAATTGCATGGACTGACTAGTGCTTCATAATAACGAAACGCACTCAATTTAGTTAGTCATTTTACTTTATTTCATCATATTCTCAAGCCAAAAAATGGTGAGTCTTTGGTTCCATTGCAAATAAATGAAAAATGTTTTTAGTTGGGGTAAAATACTAAAATGGTTACACAATTTTAATTGTGAAATGTGTTCTCTTTTCTGCTCTCTTTCTCTTGAATCAACAACTATTTCATCTCTCTTTATATTGTACATTCATGCCTTTTTCTCCGTTTCATCACAACAGATCGGACCATTAAGGTATTGTAAGCCTACCAAGGATGTATTTAGTTGGATTGAAATGTTTTGGTCTGATATGTACCGGTCTGTCTAAGTTTGCTTTGGTCTAAAGTAGTATGATTTGATAGATTTATGTTTAATATATGTTTTACAATTGCCAAAATCTGATGTGACTTGTTTAAGTTTGGTATGGTTTGATTTGGGATTGTAACGAGCTCAATTAAATATTTCGTAATTCCTAATTGTCACCTAGGTGATATGGTGGTTGCTAGCACCGCGCCGGACTTTACCGCCGTGGCAACCATGGCCTAGAGGGTTTCCATCATTTTCGTTACGAAATTACATTAAACATGACATTTTTGGATTGTGGATATATACTCGTAGAGTTAGAAAAGTTGAAGTACGGAAAAATTGTACGGAGTAAGTCGTAAGCCATCACCCAGACAAATATGCCCGACTTTTTAAGTGAAAAACACTTTATTTGGATAAGAAATCATTGGGAGTAATTCGAGAATTTGAAGAGGAAAAAATGAAACAAATCAAAAATTGAGATCATTAAAGCATAAAAGGCATATTATGGATTATTTAAATTTCGCAACTGGATTACCATTTCAAAATTAATTTACTAAACGCCCTTTGGCAATTGGCATGAAGTGTTAAGTAAAGGGACCAAAGTAAGCTGATAAACGGGACAGAAAGGCAGTGATTATGATTCTCAATTATTGATGAACGAATAGAGAGTTGTTGACATGGTCTAAAAGGTCCGAGAAACTGTTTTCCCATGAAAAGGTCCAAAATGTCTTGAATTTTGGGATACATTTTCCAACAACCTTTTTCAACGAGTCATGTGGGCAGCATTTTTTCTAGATGTTTATCGAGAAAGAAATGTATTCAATTTCAGTAAGAAATGCAAGGTGTCAAAAGAATTTTCAAAATTATATGTTTGAAATATCTTTAGAATTGCTTTACGTTTAACATGTAGAAGTGTTTGTTGGAGAAAACACGACCCCCAACATCTTCCAGTATCATCAGTTCAAAGGTCTCTTGTACATTCACCCACCCACTCATAACACAAAGATTCAATCTACAATATCACTTTGTATTATACAATTGAAATGTACAAGAGATATTTTACAAGTAAACGGGTAGCTCACATCACTCTTTGTATATGGGACTACTTCACTCTCACTCTCCTCTCTCAAGGAGGCTCTCACTCACTCAAGAGCTCTTCTCAAGGCTCTCTCTCTCTCTCATTACTTGAGGAGACTCTCCCTCTAGGCTCACTCACATGAGGCTCTCTCACTAAGCTCTGGGCCCTCCTCACATGGCTCTCACTTAGGAATGAGGAGTCTCATCCCTATTTATACAACTCTTCTGTAAACTTCTCTAGAAGTTTCTATACAACACTACATTTCTAGATTCTTCTAAGAACTATCCACAAGCTTCTCTAATCTTCTAAAAGTATCTAGAGAACTCCACATCGCTTGAGAATGTTCTAGAGGCTTCCACACACTTCCGCACGATTTTAGAGAATTCCACACTTCTCTAGAAAACTCCACAATGTTCTAGAATATTCTATACTCTTCCACACACTACTAGATAATTCCACGTCTCTCTAGAAAGCTTCGGAATATTCTAGAACATTCAATATTTCTCTACACACATCTAGAGAAATCTAGACATCTCCGCAGTATTCTAGAATTCTCATTAGTTTCTCAATTAAGGGGGAACCCAACAGTGTTTGAATATGTACCAGTATAGTTTATCCTGATGATTAAATTGTTCGTGTTATATTTGATGTTTCGATCTGTGATGCATTGGTTGGGGCGGTCGAAGCAGGCTGGTCACACGTGGAGATTGAGACAGATGCTCTATCGGTGGTCCAGGACCTCAAAAATGGGGGAGGATCCTCTTACCTCTACCTTATTGTTGATGACATTAGGAATTTTTTGAAAACAAAGAGTAATTTTATTGTCTCTTTTTGTAAGCGATCTGCGAATCGTGTTGCTCATACATTAGCAAGAGCACATGTTACTATCTCAGATCAGTCATGTTGTTATGACCTTGTTCCTGACTCTATTGTAAGCCTTTTGGCTCACGATCTGGTGAATTAATATCAGTCAGTTGGAGTTCAAAAAAAATCTGCAACAAAATATTAGTATGTGAATACGTTTTCGGGATGCCGCTAATATATTTGAGTTTTATCAATAGAAACAGGCTTAAGGAAGCTTTTTATTTGGCCTAATTATCGATTGGAAGAATAGCTGAAATCCACGATCACGAGGATATAGTCCACGCTTTGTGACAAGAAAACGGCAATAAATGGTGAGACAAAAAAAGACTATCACAGTGACAAGAATGATAATCTGCAAGCAAAGAATTAATTTTTGAATAGTTTCATCTTTGAGAACATTGCCCAAGTTTGGTTATAAAAAAAAAATACTATGGAGATTTACATGAGTGAATTACTTTTATGGACCACTCCAAATTTGAACTCTTAAGGGTACTGGTCTCCTGGATATGCCAATTTTAAAGATGTCAAAGCAGCATGTTTAGATCGATATTTTAACAAAGGTTAAAGCAAATGTTTTACTCAGGATGCAACTTATTCACAGAACTGATTGTTGTTATGTTCGGATCCATCACTTCAGCAACCAACTGTCCCGTGGTGATATCTATAAAATCAAGATTTTTTCCAGGTGTACACAAAATGTGTACACTTTTGTACTTTCTGTCCCCAGCAGACAAGTTGTCTGTCACAGACAACTCGAATTCAAGTTGTCTGTGACAGACAACTTGTCTGCTGGGGACAGACAACTGTACAAAAAAAGTGTACGCATTTTGTGTACACCACACATTTATCTATAATCAATGAGGTATAATCAATGAGGTGCAAGGCAGTTTCATGGAATGACAATAAGCGACTCCAAATGATCCTGCATATCATACAATTCACTCTCAACATTTCAGTTTTTCTAAATCACTTCGGACATTAATTATAGACTAAGTTTATTTTTAAAATTCATTTTAAAAATATTACTGTATGTAAATGCATAATTTTTAATAATTCAGTCATTTCAACAACTTCGGCAACTTCAAGTCTTCAACCAGTTCGTAAATGAATGACTCTAATAGCTAAGTTGTGCTCTCTCTCTCTAGGGCTTGACCGCCGCTAGGACTTCGTTCGTCCGCTCTCATCCCTTCGACAAGGAACGATGCTGGTTTTAATCGGCTGTGGATTGGAGTTTTCGACGCTATTCAACAAGAAGAGGCGAATATTGCTGTGTTAGATTAAATTCCAAGATCGGCATCATAAAATTATACATAATCATATACTGATAGATCTAAGATTTAGAAATACCTGGATCCATGATAGAGGAATGAACTGGAATAAATTCCTTATCCTCTCTGGCCTCTTTCCTTATGAGATTTTTGACATGTAGAAATCTCTCACTAAATATTGTGTTGTTATTCCCTAGGGAATAAGCATATATATAGAGGCAGAGGAGAGGGTTGGGGAACCCTAGTCCTAGACAGACTTAAACATAGGTTCAGTCTATCATTAAACCAATTAAAGGTCTAGGACTATACGAACTCTATTAATAAAATATAACCCCAAATACATGACCAATATTAGAATATTAATAATTAAATAAATATTCTAACATGCTGCTCTTACTTTCCATTGATTACCGTAGCAGAGAGTCGGAGGTGGGGGAAGACGAAGCGGGTCCGTCGCCGAGGGCTTTGCATGGAGACGATTGCCGATCTGTACCGCAAGATGAGTGTAGATGAGGAGGCGGTGGAGCTGGATTTTGACGAAGTCGATACCGCAGAGGGTTCAAGGGA